CAAAGTAGCAAACTGTGAATGTGTTTATGGGGTCAGTCTGCTGAGAAATGTAAAAATGGCAAACTGTGAATGTGTTTATGGGGTCAGTCTGCTGAGAAATGGAAAAGTAGCAAACTGTGAATGTGTTTATGGGGTCAGTCTGCTGAGAAATGTAAAAATGGCAAACTGTGAATGTGTTTATGGGGTCAGTCTGCTGAGAAATGGAAAAGTAGCAAACTGTGAATGTGTAGAACAGACCTGCTCATACTATGTGTATTGAGATAACCAGATAACTGAAGGCCTAATGAGGGTACAAGGTTAAAATCTTTTACTGAGAAAACTAAAAAAGAACCAAAAAAAGTTACTTATAAAGAATATCAACTAAATGCCAATATATGTCTGCTCACTTGGACTTGCCACTCGAGGTTCATTGTGAAGTTCCTGTTACTGGTGGTAGATTATAGTAAATCACCTTTGACTGGTGGTAGATTATAGTAAATCACCTGTGACTGGTGGTAGGTTATAGTAAATCGCCTGTTACTGGTGGTAGATTATAGTAAATCACCTGTTACTGGTGGTAGATTATAGTAAATCACCTTTGACTGGTGGTAGATTATAGTAAATCACCTTTGACTGGTGGTAGATTATAGTGAATCACTTGTGACTGGTGGTAGATTATAGTAAATCACCTGTTACTGGTGGTAGATTATAGTAAATCACCTGTTACTGGTGGTAGATTAGAGTAAATCACATTTACTGGTTTGTGACAACTTCATCTTCTAGCTTGGCCATTGTACTACTGGTTCTCATGAATGATTTCTTCAGTCATCTCTTTTAAATACACACATGCATGTCACGGGGAATTCTAAGCTTCCTCCCCTCAGACGACATAATTCCAACTGGTAACTGAACATGTCAATAAAATGTAACAAGTTGTTGCTTTTAAAAGGTAAGTAATTTTTGGTGTCTCTTTTAACTGTTTTTTGGGGGGTCACTAGTGCCGTAAGTTTTGTACCAGTACAGTTACACAATCGTTTGTGATTTTGTGATTTTTCTCTCAGGAACTTTCTAAGGAGATGCGTGAACATGAGAAAAGTCTGGACTACCTGAACAAGACCGGCCGTGACCTCATCTCTAAGTCCACCGAGGATCAGGCCAAGACTCTGCAGACCGACCTTGACCGACTCAACGCGGAGTGGGCGGCCGTGGCGACCAGTATCGAGCAGCGACAGTCCAGGCTGGACAAGTCCGTCGCTAACGTGACTGAGTTTAGGGTAGGTCAAGATTGTGTCCAACTGTGTGTGACAGAGTAAGTCAAGGTCATGTACAGCTGTGTGTGACCGAGTTGAGATAAGGTCAAGGTCGTGTACAACTGTGACCGAGTGGAGATTAGGTCAAGGTCGTGTACAACTGTGTGTGACCGAGTGGATGATGTGTACATGATGTACAGCTGTGTGTGAGAGTGGAGGATGTGTACATGATGTACAACTGTGTGTGACCGAGTGGAGGATGTGTACATGATGTACAACTGTGTGTGACCGAGTGGAGGATGTGTACATGATGTACAGCTGTGTGACAGAGGGAAAAGTGTGTCTTGGAACATGTTTGAGCTCATGGGAAGGGTTTGGAGCTTCAGGCCCACCAACGTTTTTGTTGTATATTCCACACTTTTGTTGTGACCTGCCAATTGGGAAGTGACTGATCCACTATTGTGAAGTGACTGATCCACTATTGTGAAGTGACTGATCCACTATTGTGAAGTGACTGATCCACAATTGTGAAGTGACTGATCCACTATTGTCAAGTGACTGATCCACTATTGTGAAGTGACTGATCCACTATTGGGAAGTGACTGATCCACTATTGTCAAGTGACTGATCCACTATTGTGAAGTGACTGATCCACTATTGTGTTTGTTCCCTCCACAGCACCAGATGGATGGACTGAACAAGTGGATGAGAGAGATGGACGTGTTCCTCCACGCCCCTGATCCCTCAGTCGGCGATATCCCAGCCCTCCAGGCACAGCTACAAGAGAGCAAAGTAAGTCCTCACACCTCACACCTCACACCTCACACCTCACACCTCACACCTCACACCTCACACCTCACACCTCACTCCTCATACCACGAACACCAACACACCACGAACACCAACACACCATGAACACTCAACACACCACGAACACTCAACACACCACGAACACTCAACACACCTCAGACAAGGACACACCATGAACACCTTCATATCATCACACCCCAGACACCAACACACCACAGACACCAACACACCACAGACACCAACACACCACAGACACCAACACAGCAAAGACACCAACACACCACAGACACCAACACACCACAGACACGAACACACCACAGACACCACAGACACCAACACACCACAGACACCAACACACCAGACACCAACACACCACAGACACCAACACAGCAAAGACATACTCTGTGTGTGTGGCGAGGATTGAAGGTTGACAAAATATCTTATCGTGGCTTAGGTAACTATTTGACAACATGCAGTGTATTTGCTGCCCATATTCCTTCTTAAAGCTTTTGGTTTCTCATTGACTCCATGATCTCTCCGTTATAAACTTACAAACAGATTCTACATTGTGAAGTCTTACCTCACAGATGATTAGTTTTGATACACTGTAGGAATGTGATTGAGTTGACCCTTGGTTTGAATGTATCAACGTTGTATCTTCTACCTGTTGAGCCTCGGATCAAATAGTTTGTTGTGTTTGTTCTTGTCTAGGGCGTGCAGGATGATGTGAAAACGCTGCAGACCAACGTGAAGAGCGTCAACGCTCTATGGAAGAATGTGCTGAGTGACGCCGAGCCAAAGTTCAAGTCGGAGGTGGAGGAGGAAGTGAAAGAAATGAACGAGAGATGGGAGAAGCTTGTACACCTGGCAGAGAAACAGAACCTGCGGCTTGAGGCCTCGCTGAAGAAAGGCCGGACCATCTACGACCGCATCGAGGCTTTGAACATGTGGCTGACAGAACTCAAAGATGACCTGGCCAACAAAGATTACTCTGTGGAGAACCCCAACGACTTGCAAGTGAAGGCCAGGAAATTCAAGGTAGGCTCTTTCAAGTTTGAATACTGTACTGAACCAGCTTGTATTGGAAGGAAATCTTCACTGTTCATTGACTGAAAGTTTATTTCTACATGATAATGTTCTGATCGCTCCGTGGCTATGTTCTCTGACATTTTTGTCGTAGTTTGAGTTGCCCAACATCAGCGTGTTGTTTCTGTGTGGGTTCTGTTACAAACTTTAGACATTTTTGAACTATATTTTTGGGGCATTGGATCAGCCCGTACTTCCTTCTCTCCAGCAGGTATCTGTCATCTGTATTTGTAAGAAAATTTTTTTTTTTCCTTTCTTTGAAAAAAAGTTTCTCCTAACATTTGTCTTTGTCTGTGTTGCCAGACGCTCAAGTCTGACCTTGAAGTGAAGAGCGCGGAGATGGAAGACATCACCAACGAGGCCAAGGACATACTCTCCGACTCTCCATCTGGCTCTCTGCAGGTGAGGAAAAACTTCCCATTAGTTTACCCTGGATCGATAACAATTTACTCTTTCACTTTCACTGACAGCTTTGTTTATTTTCTACATAGTTTCTGTATTTATGCTGAGCTCTGCACTGACAGCTTTGTTTATTTTCTACATAGTTTCTGTATTTATGCTGAGCTCTGCACTGACAGCTTTGTTTATTTTCTACATAGTTTCTGTATTTATGCTGAGCCCTGCACTGACAGCTTTGTTTATTCTACATAGTTTCTGTATTTATGCTGAGCCCTGCCCTGACAGCTTTGTTTATTTTCTACATATAGTTTCTGTATTTATGCTGAGCTCTGCACTGACAGCTTTGTTTATTTTCTACATAATTTCTGTGCCCATGTTGAGTATGGCATTCACCACTGTGTCTACTCATCACCCATCAGAAAAGACTGAAATCGATAAATATCATGAATTTGTTGCCTGCAGAATTTTTTTGTGAGGCATCGTGGTGAAATCAGGCGCTCGTCAAAATAACGAAATTGGAGAAACAGGCATTTTTTTCATCAGTTTGGAAATTTTTTATTTAAATTTTGTTTTTAGGCTCAACCCCATTTATGTCCATATAAAAACACATTTCCGTGTGAATTTTACTGAAAAACGTTGATTAAAAATTAAATCCACAAAATTTGTTATTTTTCTAACTATTGGAATAACCAAACTTTGGTGGCCATTTTCTTTCTAGTTTCACCACTGAAACCAGGCGACCTCATCTCTTTCAGTTGTAAATATTTTGACTTCTATTCAAGATAGGTGGGTATCTTTTCACTGAAAGCAAGGCAAATGAATAAGCTTGCAGATGATACCAATAACCCCACATGCCCAAAAACTGACGAGCGCCTGATTCCACCGCGTCGTGACATTTGTCTCTTTGTTTGGTGTTTGGCTTGTATGTATGAAGTATAGGGTTACGCTCGCAACTGCTGAGGTCATATGAGCACGCTGCCGTGTTTGGCTTGTATGTATGAAGTATAGGGTTTTACGGCGCTCGCAACTGCTGAGGTCATATGAGCACGCTGCCGTGTTTGGCTTGTATGTATGAAGTATAGGGTTACGCTCGCAACTGCTGAGGTCATATGAGCACGCTGCCGTGTTTGGCTTGTTTCAATAAACTGTGAAGGATAAAGGAAGTTAGTACTAAAACTTGTTTCCCTGTTGAATGTTTCAATAAACTGTGAAGGATAAAGGAAGTTAGTACTAAAACTTGTTTCCCTGTTGAATGTTTCAATAAACTGTGAAGGATAAAGGAAGTTAGTACTAAAACTTGTTTCCCTGTTGAATGTTTCAATAAACTGTGAAGGATAAAGAAAGAAGTAGTGCTGAAACTTGTCTCCCTGTTGAATGTGTCAAGACCAAAGACTGTGTTGTGTGTTCAGGGAGTAGCTGAAGAAGCAGGTGGAGGGAGGGACATTGTTCATTATTCGGGAGGAGAAGGGGAATAACTGAGATGTTCAGATTTGCTCTCAAAGATTCCAGGGTTCCCTTCCTCCCCCTGCTCTGAATTAACATGGGGGTGCCTCTTTCAACTCTTTGTAATTCTGAAATGAATGCATCAATCATATCATATTTACCCTGACTTCAGTTAGAAATGAATGCATCAATCATATCATATTTACCCTGACTTCAGTTAGAAATGAATGCATCAATCATATCATATTTACCCTGACTTCAGTTAGAAATGAATGCAGTTTCTTCAGTGGGATTTTATGTGAATATTATTATGCAAATTTTATTCTTTTGGTCATGTCATATGTGTTTGTGCATTTCATTGAAAACATCCCAAAAAATACAAAGATGTACAGTCTCAAAGAAATTAACAATTCAGTTGATAAAATATAGACCTCATACATTGATTTCTTGATGATCAAACATTTTGCATACGCTAGGAAAAGATTTCCGTCTTCATATTCTTCAATTCTTACTTACTGGTTAGGTAGTCCTGAAAAGGCAGTCAACAATCGCCAAAAATAGCACGGCAAGGTGTGTCTGACCATGTTTGGAGAATGTCTAACTTTCCTAACTTCACTCATGGAGTATCATTTAGATGCAATATAAGCACTTTTAAGGTGCATTGCGATACAACTAGCGTCGCATCAATCTCATGTTGAGTTAGGTTTGCCATTCTGACGTTTAAATAGGAGAAAAATGAAGAGCAGCTTGCGAGAGCTGTCAACATGAATATTCAAGATGGCGGACCTGGGTAGACAAACGTATCAAAGCGAATGACTACTAGAAAAAATGGCCGTCTGACAAATTTGGGCTTAAATGAGCTCATTTTTTAATTGGTGCACTTTTCAAACAAAAGTGAAAAAATATTTAATTTGATTTATTTTCGCTTAATTAGGCACCACACAAAATAAGGGGCGTGTCCGTCGATCTTCAGCAATCGAAATTCTTTGTTTGAAATCTTTGACAGTTAAATGCTTATGACCCAATTTTTAAAACTCATTTTCTGTCAATTTTCTGCATTAGAAATTTCCTGTATGTTTTCATCATGAGAGTGGGTGGTTGGCAAGTGCTCTGGTGTGGTTATGCTCTTTTTTGTGTATGTTACTCTCTGGTAATACTTCTAATCTTCGGCACTTATATGACCTTATTGTGGCGCAAGCGCCGTAAAACTCTTACTAAAACTTAGTTAGGAATATTTGTCAGAAGTTTTTAAAATACATTTTCTGTTAATATTTTCATGTTGTAAATTTCCCGTATGTTTTCCCGGTGCCCCAGGATCTTGCCCGGCTCCAGATGCGAATGAACGCGTTGTGGGACGACGTGAACGCGCGCGTCGACCGCTACCACACGCTGTACGAGTCGGCAGACAGAAAGTGGAAGGACATGAGAGATTTGCTCAACGTAAGTACACACACAGTCCAACCTGTTGTTACAATCACCTGTCCTAGACAATCACCTGTACAAATGGCCACCTGTCCAAGACAATCACCTGTACAAATGGCCACCTGTCCTAGACAATCACCTGTACAAATGGCCACCTGTCCTAGACAATCACCTGTACAAATGACCACCTGTATAAGACAATCACCTGTACAAATGGCCACCTGTATAAGACAATCACCTGTACAAATGGCCACCTGTATAAGACAATCACCTGTACAAATGGCCACCTGTATAAGACAATCACCTGTACAAATGGTCACCTGTATAAGACAGTCACCTGTACAAATGGCCACCTGTCCAAGACAATCACCTGTATGAATTGGATTCCTCTTAAGGTAGTTCAAACAGTCACTTCCCCCTTTGTGTTTTTCTTTGATATTGTAATGTTGAAACCATTCACCTTGCTAAGACAACCACGATTCTCCTTTTAGTGGGAGGCCGTCTTGGACAATTCCCTCTGTGTGTACAGATATGTTCCTGTCGGAATGGTGCAGTGTTGTAGTAGTAAGGATCTGTTTGTACTTTTTAAAGAAGTTTTTACTTTTTAAATTTACTCAATCGACTGAATGAGAGAAGAAAAGAAAATGATTTTGTCCAAGTAGAAATGATGTGTTTGGTTTAGTTTTTCTTGTTAGTCTCTATGTTGTGTGTGCCAAAGAGCTTATTGTTATTGTTATTGTTATTATTATTATTATTAGTATTATTATTTGTTATTATTATCACTATCAATACTGTGCTATGTGTGCAAAAGATCTTATTGTTATTCTTTAAAAAATTATTATTATTATTATTATTATTATTATGATCATTATCAATACTTCGATAATATTAGATGCCCTTCAGTTTTCATGGATGTTACAATCATGTCTTTTACGATGTGTGTTTTAATTTACTTGTGCCAGAATGTTTACCATCCAGTGTGTTATATTCTGCTTGTGTCAGAATGTTTACCATCCAGTGCGTTATATTCTGCTTGTGTCAGAATGTTTACCATGGAGTGGCGTCAGTGGCCTAGTGGTTAGGCTCTCGGACTCGCAACCGTAAGGTCGTGGGTTCGAATCCTGTCAGGGACCCGACGTTGTGTCCTTGGGAAAGGCACTTTGCACAAATTTTCCTCACTTCACCCAGGTGGATATGGGTACCCAGCTATAGACAGTGAACGATCTTGTCAGTTTGATAGTGTTTGAGCGCATGAAATCCGCAGCTTGCACTGTATGCTTCCGCGGAAGCTGAGAATGTTTCTGAGTGTTCTCAGAGGGTCTGCTGGGGTAATAATAGTTGTAAAGCACATAGAGCAAGCTCTTGAGCGTGGATATGCGCTATATAAATGCTATTATTATAATTATTATTATTATGTATTCCTTGTGGCCAGGTTGAGAGTCAGTACCTTCAGTCACTGGAGAGCAAAGTCCGCCGGACGTCCACAGCCAGCTCTGATGCAGAAGACATCTCGGAGGAGTTGAACGTACGTGTTACTGTCTGTCTATCTCAGGGTAGTTGAATGTAAGTCTTACTGTCTGTCCATCTGGGAGGAGTGGAGTGTGTGTAACTGTCTGTTCATCTCGGAGGAGTGGAGTGTGTGTAACTGTCTGTCTCGGAGGAGTGGAGTGTGTGTAACTGTCTGTTCATCTCGGAGGAGTGGAGTGTGTGTAACTGTCTGTCTCGGAGGAGTGGAGTGTGTGTAACTGTCTGTTCATCTCGGAGGAGTGGAGTGTGTGTAACTGTCTGTTCATCTCGGAGGAGTGGAGTGTGTGTAACTGTCTGTTCATCTCGGAGGAGTGGAGTGTGTGTAACTGTCTGTTCATCTCGGAGGAGTGGAGTGTGTGTAACTGTCTGTCTATCTCGGAGGAGTGGAGTGTGTGTAACTGTCTGTCTATCTCGGAGGAGTGGAGTGTGTCTAACTGTCAGTCTATCTCGGAGGATATTTTGAGATGGTGCTGTAGAAAAGGTAGAAGTGCTTATTATGTAACAAATGTCTTCTGAGATGGTGCTGTTGTTGTTGTTGTTGTTTTCAAATCCCTTTAGCTGCGAGCATTTCGCTCTTGGCAGCTCAATGCCTCCCTAAGAGATGGTGCTGTAGAACTGTATCTGTATTAGTTTCTTCTTGTTGACCGCTTGTCTGTCTGTGTGTACTTGACCCAGTGGGTGGTTGGTGTATGCTGTGGTGTGGTTTTCTCCTGCTTTCCTATCAAACATCTATCGTCCTTATCTCTCCTTCTTCTTTTTTGTGTTTGTTACTCTCTTGTATCACCTCTAATCCTCAGAACTTATATGACCTTATTGTGTTGCAAGTCCCGTAAAACTCTTACTGAAAAAAAAAGTACTGACCGTTTATCTGTCTGTGTGTCCTTGACCCAGGATGTGGAGACGTACCTGGCAGAGCACTCGACGGAAAACAAACGGCACATCTCGGAACTGGCCAATGACCTCATCCACAACTCCATCATGGTGGAAACTGTGCGCAAGGAGTTGGAGGATTTCCTCAGGAAGAACGAGAAGGTGGAGAGTGAGGTGAGTCCTGTTGTGGATGACTGAGTGAGTGAGTGAGGTGACTGGTGTTGTGACTAACTGAGTGATGACTGTCGAGTAATTGATGCTAGGTATAAAACATGTTCAGAATGCCAGTCAAGAAAGAGAAAGATGTTTAGTTCTCACCGAGATGCGTGATGAATCACTAGCAAGACAGCAGTAAAACCTTGTCAAATTATGGATTTTGTAGAAGTCAGGAATTCATGTTGTGGTTTCCAGTTAACCTTACTGATTGCCACAAACTTAATTTCAGTAATATAATAATAATGATAATAATAAATAACAATTCTTTACCGCATACCCCCGTTCGACTGCAAGCTCTATGCGCCTTACAATCTATGATATGGCCTCAGCAAACCCTACAACATTCAGAAACATTCTTGGCTTCTCAGGAAGAATACAGTGCAAGCTGCTGAATCACTAACGAACTGGTTAATAGTTGTAGTAAAAATTTTTAGGAAGTATCACTACGAAAATCTGGCCACAGAGGCTGTAGAGTAATGTCTAATCTCTTCATGTTGATGGGGAGTCTACGGTGGGGACGAGGGCTTTGGGAGTTCAGGCTCAGAATCAAGGTCAAGCAAGTGTCGGTGACACAAGGTAGATGGGTTCTCACTGGATTGTGTCCAGTTCAGGCTCAGAATCAAGGTCAAGCGAGTGTCGGTGACACAAGGTAGATGGGTTCTCACTGGATTGTAGTGTCGGTGACATAGGGTAGATGGGTTGTCACTGGATTGTAGTGTCGGTGACACAAGGTAGATGGGTTGTCACTGGATTGTAGTGTCGGTGACACAGGGTAGATTGGTTGTCACTGGATTGTAGT